GAGTGTTTAATGGATGGTTGTGGTGTGGTGTGAGGGGGGGAAGGGGAGAGGGGGCAGCGCTTGGAGCAGACAGCTAGCACCTCCATTTTTCCCACTGTCGGGAAGATTCCAAGCTTGATTATACTTGTTCTGCCTGGCAGTTAAAAATAGGAGTGTGCCTTTTAATTTAGCAAACATTCTTTATCCACAACACTCACTCTGCCGGCTGCTATGAATGCTGTCAAATTTAACAAGACACGCCTGTGCCTTTCAAGAGCTTGCATTCTTCAGACAGAGCTGGTCAGGGCTGAAATAGTAGGAAGGTGTTTGCCAGTGGTTGCTTGCAGAGAGAGTTCAGTCACTAAGAGGAACTAAGGCAAAAAAGGTACTTAACTGATTGGGGCATAGCTTGAGCCAGAGCTTTTCTACTGTCCCCAGGTTCCATCGGTTAAGTCTTGATGTCACCTTTGTAAGGCTGGTTTCTCCGGTGGCTTAGCAGCACACTCCTCATCTGTCCAACAAAGGCTCCCTTGCTATTCGTTGGTTCTGACCAAGCCCCAGTGCCCCTTCTGAGTCAGTGATGGTCACAGAGTAAGATTCATTGATTGTAGTAGGCTGTGTGATAACGGACACACCTGGAGACTGAGCTTCATGGTGCCAGCGTCGTGCAGAGCACATTGGCCAAGAGTGAGGGGAGAATGATTCTGTAGCAGCCTGAGGGATTCCAGAACCCTTAGAAGGGAATGTGTGTGCTGACAGACCCAAGAATCTACCAGATTTTCCAAAAAACAGTGATGAAAGATGTCTTAGGATTTCTGTTGCTGCGAAGAGACTCATGGCAACATTTAATTGGGGATGGCTTACATTTCAGATGTAAGGGGTTGGGGATTTAGCTCAGTGGTAGAGTGCTTGCTAGGCAAGCGCAAGGCCCTGAGTTCAGCTTCAGAAAATAAAAAGGCAACATTTCATATGTAAGCCATTTTAAAATGCTCCTTGTCAGAAAAGGATTTTCAGATACACAACAGGACAGATTCGAACATGAAAGACCTCTAAACGAGACACAGTGTGTTTAAAGATGTATTTAGGATTGGGAGAGAGAGGAAACAGTATAGACAGTTATAAAAGGAAGTAAATAGTTTTAAAAAATAAAACAAAGTCTTTAAAGAGACAGTAATATAAAAGAATACAGACAGTCATGGGTTAAAGATATAAAGATAACAAATATTAAAAAGTAATAGAAAAAAGCCACATAAAGATGGAAAATACAGAATCTGGATTATGTGTATTATTGTATTTTCTTTAATTTTTGACTGTTAATGAGCTAACTGTAGAGAGACATTTGGTTGTGGCTAAGCTAAACCAACACATATATTTTAAAGGTATCTTGACTTTAAAATTTGAGTCTAAGGATATGTTTGGAAAAGAGATTCTGCTTTTGTTCCCACAGATGAGAACCTGTGGATTCCTTTCAGGCTAATGTGGTTTGATGGAACAAGATTCCCCCCGCCCCAAAAGTGTCTGAACCATAAAAATACTTCACCCAACAAACAGCAGGAAGCAGTTTGGAGAAGACTACACCCAAATTCCCAAAATGATTGTTTATAAATATTTTCGCTTAAAGGGGGATATGATATAGAAATGAATACTTTACATTGATATGGATCTTGGTCTATTGATACAAATATAAAGCCAATTTTTATATGTATATTTCTACCTTTGTTTAAGGTATTATTTTTATACAATTCATTAAAAAATTTAATGTATAATTAAAAATTACAGATTAATAGTCATTTATAATAGTCAAACTTGTAGTCATGTTAGTTTGGTTTTCTAGATGCATAGAGCTATATTTCAGATGGATAGGTATTCTTCAAACCTTTCAAAGACCTACAGAATATAGCATTTAAAATGTTTTAAGAACTTAGACTTTTCTTGACAGTGAGGCATGTCTGCTGCTTCTGGCAGTACCAATTACTTCAAGAGGATGATGGGCATCAAAGAGGCTCCTTATGGAGTTTGCTAGCCATTTGAGCAAGAAACTGCTTTTGCCTGGCTAAGCTATTTGTCAAACAGCTTAGTTCATTAACTGATTAAAGGAACACATATACAGGACGTCCCACATCACGTGATCATCATGGGGACTTCTGGAAGGCTTTCTCAGGGACGGGGTGAGTGGGAGGAGTGAGACCAGAATGTAGAATAGGGCCCCTAGTTGGAGATTTCCCCAACACTCCTAATAGTGCCACTCCCTATGGCCATGGAATCAAACACCTGAGTCTATGGGAGCTGTCTTAGGGTTTTTATTGCTGTGAAGAGACACCATGACCATGAAAACTCTTATAAAGAGAACATTTAATTGAGGTGGCTCACTTAAAAGTTTCAGATGCTTATTCCATGGTGGTGTGCAGGCAAGAGAAAGTCAACTGAGACACTGGTTGGTATCCTGAGCAAAGGAAACTTCAAAGCCCACCCCCACAGTGATGTTTCCTCCAACAAAGCCATACCTCCTAATAGTGTCATTCCCAGTGAGATGATGGGGGTCAATTACATTCAAACTACTATAGGGGTTATTGCTATTTAGACTACTGATACGGGATTCCCCTCTGTATGCTGTGAATACCATTGGTTAATAAAGAAGCCGTCTTAGGCCTGTGATAGGGTAGAGCAGAGCTAGGCCGGGAAAACTAAACTGAATGCTGGGAGAAAGGAGGCAGAGTCAAAGAGAAGCCATATAGCCCTGCTGGAGACAGATGCCAGAACTTTACCCAGTAAGCCACAGCCTTATGGCAATACACAGATTAATAGAAGCAGGTTAAATTAATATGTAAGAGCTAGCCAATAAGAATCTAGAGCTAATGGGTCAAGTAGTGATTTAATTAATATAGCTTCCGTGTGGTTATTTCGGAAGTCTGAGTGGCCGGAAAACAAACAAGCAGCCTCTCATACAATAGACTATTACAGAAGATAAGTGTCTAAGCTAATCTCTATGTTCACATCAGGACACTGAAAAGGAAACTACCATTGGAACCTTGTAGAGACTAGAATGCAGTGCATAAGATCCAATGACTTGACACCAGAAAACCCAGTTTTGAGTCCTGCTTCTGCCATAGCTAGGTCATTTCCTATCTTTGATTTCTTTATCAGAAAAATAGGAACAAAATTGGGACTTACAAGGGATTTATTTATTTATTTATTTATTTATTTATTTATTTATTTGAGATAGGATGCAACATCCTGGGCTAACCTAGAACTAGCTATATTGCTGAGGAGGGCCTTGAACTCCTGATCCTCCTACCTCACTAGTGCTGGGATTACAGGTGTCTGCCACCATGTTCAGTTTATGCGGAGCTGGGGATGGAACTCAGACCTTTATGTTTGCCAGGCAGGCACTCTGCCAGCTGAGCCACATCCCCAGACTTTTTTTGTTTGTTGAGACGGTTTCAATGCTAGACCAAGCTGGCATTGAACTCTCTGTATGATCAAAGATGATATTGGGGATGTTGAGATGGCTCAGAATGTAAAAGAACTTGCCATTGAGCCCAATGATCTGATTTCAACTTCCAGAACCTATATGGTCAAAGAATTGACTCCTGCATGTGCACTATGGTACCCACATGCTCAAATGCATATATACAGACATACACGTAATATAAATAAATAAGTAAAAAAAATCAAAGATGACCTATTCCTCATTCTCTGGTCTCTGCCTCTCAAGTGCCAAATTTATGTTTTGTTTGTTTTTGAGGCAGGGCTTCTCTGTGTATCTCTGGCTGTCCTGGAACCTTCTGTAGACCAGTCTGGCCTTAAATTCACAGAGATCCTCTTGCCTCTGACTAGTGAGTGCTGGAATTAAAGTTGTGTACCACCCCATCTCCCAGCCAGTTTTATTTTTCCATTTTTTGGAAGATATATTTTTATGTATAGGAATGTAGGTGCCCATGCAGGCGAACAGAGGGTATTGAATCCCTTATAGCTAGAGTAACAAGTGATTGGGAGCTGCCCAGTATGGATGTTGGAAACTGAACTCCAGTCCCCTGGGAAGAGGAGTAAGTTCTCTTAGCTACTGAATCCTTTCTCCAGCCCCCGTTTGTTTATTTATAGACAGGGTCTCATTCTCTATTCTGAGTTGGCCTAGAACTTCTGATCCTTCTGTCTCAGAGTTCTGAATACAAGAATCACGAGGATGGACCACCATACCTGCTCCTCCCACAAGGTTTTTATAAAAAGTTGTAGAAAGAACCCATGTAAAACACCAAGTACTGTGACATGCAGTTAGCTATCATTACTTTTTGTTCCTTTTTTAAATTAATTTGTTTATTTATTTATTATGTATACAATATTCTGTCTGTGTGCATGTCTGCAGGCCAGAAGAGGGCACCAGACCTCTTTACAGATGGTTGTAAGCTACCATGTGGTTGCCAGGAATTGAACTCAGGACCTTTGGAAGAGCAGGCAATGCTCTTAACCACTGAGCCATCTCTCCAGCCCCTTGTTCCTTTTTTTAAAGATTCGTTTATTATATATAATGTCTGCATGCATGCCTTCATGCCAGAAGAGGGCACCAGATCTCATTATAGATGAAGATATATAGCCTCATCTTTAATATATATATATATTTACAGAGAATTGACATCTGGAAGAGCAGCCAGCGCTCTTAACCTCTGAGTCATCTCTCCAGCCCTCATGTGTCTCATAGCTTGTTACCTCATTTTCTACATGTCCTGCTTCCCTGGCAGCTGGCTGGAATCTCCTCTGATTCTGCGACCTTCCTCCTGCCTAACCTTACCCTGTTCAGCTATTGGCCAGTCAGCTTGTTTATTAAACCAATCATAGCGACATATATTCACACAGTGTACAGGAGGATTATTCCACAGCATTTCCCCCTTTCCTCTAATTTAAAAGGAAGGTTTTAACTTTAGCATAGTAAAATTATATACAAAAAAAAAGGTTAACAAGAAAGAATTATAGTTACAATATCCAGTCCATTTGTATTTGGGAAAATTAGAGAAAATACTCGATTTTATCTTGGTGAACCTAAAGTTTTATATCTAAAAATCTTGGCAGAGCTCCAGGCCCCTCCAGAGCGGCAGTAGCTGGTGGAGAAATGGAGGCGCAGTCCTATTGCGCCAAGCTCTTGGGGGAGCTGAACGAGCAGCGGAAAAGGGACTTTTTCTGTGATTGCAGCATCATCGTGGAAGGGCGCGTCTTCAAGGCCCACAGGAACATCTTGTTTGCTAACAGTGGCTACTTCCGGGCCCTGCTCCTTCACTACATTGAGGACAGTGGGCGGCACAGCACTGCCTCCTTGGACATTGTCACCTCGGACGCCTTCTCCACCATCTTAGATTTTCTCTACTCCGGGAAGTTGGACTTGTGTGGCGAGAATGTGATTGAAGTTATGTCCGCTGCCAGCTACCTGCAGATGAATGACGTGGTCAACTTCTGCAAGGCGTACATCAGGTCTTCCCTTGACATTTGCCGGAAGATGGAGAAAGAAGCCGCCGTGGCTGCAGCTGTGGCAGCGGCTGCGGCAGCAGCTGCCGCCGCAGCTCATCAGATAGACAGTGGAAGTCCAAGTTCAGGACCGGAGGGGACGTCCTGTGGTACCAAGAGCTTTGTCTCCTCCCCAGTAGCGGGAGAAGGGAGCATGGAGTGTACGAGAGCATCCCCGTGTGATGACTGCCATCCCTTGGAACTGGTGGTCAAAGACAGCCAGAGCTCCGGCGCCTCTGACAGTGACCTTTCTATTGTGCCCAGGCGGGTTGAACCCAAGGTGGAGTTTGATGTGGCCAGGGTAGAGGTGGAGACCAGCGAGCAGCTGCAGCAGTATGCCGCCCCACTGGCCCATGCGGAGGACGGCCTGTCGGGTCACCAGGCCTTGGACTTGACTTACAGCAGCTACCACGTGAAGCAGTTCCTGGAAGCTCTCCTGCGCAGCGGTGCTGTCCAGAGCAAAGATGACTCGGATCATCAGTTTTCTCATAGTTGGGAGGGGAGACTGGAAGGTGCAGGAGCGGCCATGAGTTCCGTGATGGACGTCCAGAACGACTGGTATAGAGAGGACTCAGGTGAGTTCCGATCGCAGTCATTCTGTCTCCCCACTTTTGTCTGTGCCTTGTGTTCTCCCATCGTCATGACAGGCAGCACCACGGTCTCCCCACCGCTACCACCGCCGGCATTGCTGCCACCACCGCCAGTATCAATAGGTACTAATTGAGTACTTGTTGTATGTAGACTCTGTGTACCATGTGTCTGTGTGCATGCGTGTGGAGACCTGGGGGCAATATTAGATGTTGCACCTCAAGAGATGTCCACCTTGTTTTTGTTTTGTTTTCGAGATAGGGTTTCTCTGTGTAGCCCTGCCTGCCCTGGAACTTACTCTGTAGAGCAGGCTTGGCCTTGAACTCACAGAGATCCAACTATGTCTGCTTCCCAAGTGCTGGGATTCTAGGCGTGAGCCATCACCACCCAACTTTGTTTTTTAAATGGAAATTTGTTTTATTTCATATGTATGGAAGTTTTGCCTGTGTGAATATCTATCTGTACATCATATGCATGCAGAGGGCGGTAGATCCCCTTGGACTGAAGTTACTGATGGCTTTGAGCTGCCATGGGTATGTTAGGAATTGAACCCATGTCTTCTGGAAGAGCAACCAGTGCTCTAAGGTGTTTATCCATCTCTCTAGCCCCTACTTTGTTTTTAGAGACACTATCTTTTGTTGACCTTCAGCTTACTAGTTTTGCTAAACTGGCCGGCCTGTGATCCCCAGAAATCCAGCTCTGTCCATCTTCCCTGGTGCATATTGGCATTTTCCTGGCTTTGGAGCTAGTTCTGGAAAACCAATGCCAACAATAATTAAAGTGAAAGCATGCCTCTCCCCGAGATTTTGGTGAGGTTTTAGGTTTCTTTCAGGGTTATCATGGAATCCCAGGCTCATCATGTTTAAAATGAAACCCTGTCTCGAAAAACCAAAAAAAAAAGTAAAAAATAAAAATAAAAAAAATAAACTTCTAGGTGCAGCCACAAGTTTGTCATGCTTTATGGCACATGTATTCCCAAGTACACTACGTGTCTTAGAGTTTCTGTTGCTCTGAAGAGACACCATGAACAAGGCAAGTCTTATAAAACATTTCATTGGAGCTGGCTCACAGTTTCAGAGGTTCAGTCCATTATCATCGTGGCAGAAAGCATGGCAGTGTGCAGGCAGACATGGTGCTGGAGAAGGGGCTGAGAGTTCTCTATCTTGATCTGCAGGCAGCAGGAAGAAGATAGACACTAGGCCTTGCTTGATCTTCTGAAACTTCAAAGCCTGTCCCCAATGACACACCTCCAAGCAGACCATACCTATTCCATTTTGTTTTGTTTTCGAGTCAGGGTTTCTCTGTGTATCCCTGAATGCCCTGAAACTCATTCTGTAGACTGTTATAGGAGGCTGTTCCTGGCTGCTTATCCCCAAAATAACCACACAGAAACCATATTATTTGCAATACTGTTTGACCAATAGCTTGAGCATATTTCTGGCTCACTCATCTCCATTAATCTGTGTATCATTACAAGGCTGTGGCTTACTGGCTAAAGTTCTGGCTTCTGTCTCTGGCAGGGCTACATGGCTTCTCCTGATTCTGCTTTCTTTCTCCCAGCATTAAGTTTGGTTTTCCCCACCTTCCTCTGCTCTATCCTATAACAGGCCCAAAAGAGCTTCTTTATTAACCAATGATATTCACAGCATACAGAAGAGAATCCCACATCACCTCCCCTTTTCTGTTTAAATAAAAAGGAAGGTTTTAACTTTAACATAGTAAAATTACATATAACAAGACAGGTATCAAGCAAGAATTATAGTTATAATATTTATATCTATCTTTTATCATAAATAAGAAAAACTGTAACTAGAACTATATATTCTTTTTTTTTTCTTCAAGATAGGGTTTCTCTGTAGCCTTGGAGCCTGTCCTGGAACTAGCTCTTGTAGACCAGGCTGGCCTTGAACTCACAGAGATCCACCTGCCTCTGCCTCCCGAATGCTGGGAATAAAGGCGTGCACCACCACCACCCGGCAATATATTCTTCAACTCTATCAAAAACTCCAGAAGGATATAATATTACCTAAGTAAACAGGAAGTGCATTGTTAGCAACTTCCAAAACTCTAGAATTGACATAGACATCTTTCTGCCTGGACAGTCACCCAGAGATCTTCTCTACCTTTAGAACATCTATCTTCAGCCTACAGGCCCATCAGACAGTTCAGGCAAGAGGAGTTTCTTGCCCAAATGGCTAACAAGCTCCATGAGGAGCCTCTTCAATGCCTATCTTCCTCTTGAAGTGATTGGTGCTGCCAGGAGCAATTGTGTCTCACTGTTATGAAAAGTCATAACTTCTTAAAACATTTTAAATGCCCATATTCTGTAGTCTTTGAAAGATCTGTAGAATATCTATCTATCTGAAATATATCTCTGTATATCTAGAAAACCTAACAGGACTACAAGCTTGACTATTATAGATGACTATTACCTATATTTCTTAATTATACATCACATTTTTAAATGAGTTGCACAAACCTCTTACCTTAAAAGCAGAAATATACATATATAACAAAATTGATCTTAAATTTGTATCAATAAACCAAGATCCATACCAATGCAAATCTCTATAGCATATCTCCCTTTAAATATAAACAAATGTTTACAAACAATCATTTAGGGAATTGGGGCACAGTTCTCTCCAAACTGCTTCCTGCTTTTCGTTGGGCAAAGTAATTTTTGGTGGTGTTCACAGTGACCTTTCAGGGGCTCTTGGTCCATCAAACCACATTATCTGGAAGGATTCCACAGGCTCTCATCCTCTGTGGAAACAAAAGAAGAGCCTCTTTTCCAAAGCAACATATCCTTTGACCCATATTTTGAAATCAAGAAACCTTTAAAACATATATGTTGGTTTATCTTAGCAGCCCATACAATGAAATGTCTCTCTGTACTTAGTTTCTTTACAGTTAATAAATTCAAAGAAAACATGATAATTTACATAATGCATACTCTCTGTGTATATTCCATCTTTACGTGGCTTATTTTTCTTTATTCCTATTTTTTATAACTCTCTATACTCTTTTTCTTCTCTGTCCCAACCCTATGTACATTTATCCAACATAGAGGTCTTTTTTTTTTTTATCTGGATTTGTCTTTATTGTATCTGTAATCCTTTTCTGACTAGAACCACTTTTTTTTTTAATGCTAAGTGGGTGTGGCTAGGGACAACATGGCCCTGCCTGCTTGCTCTGCCCAGTTCAACATGGAGGAAGCATATTTACTACCTCTGAGACTGCCCAGTACGAGCTGTCCTCACCACCTCAGCTCTGATAACCAGTTGGCCTATGCTGCCACCAAGTAACTTGCAGCACACTGCCCACAAACTCCTGAAAGGTCCAGAGTTCATGCCCAGGAAGCCGCCATTTCAAAACTGTGTGGCTTTTTTCTGCTATCACTGAATCAGGAAAACCTCTCTTAAAGGAGTCATGGCATTAAGCCATGCTTAACTCTGGTTTTGTCTTGTTTTGTGCCTGGAATTCCTTCCTAAACCCTCTCAGGTTTTAAGTGGATTTTAGTTGGCCACGTTGGCGCCAATTTGTTGTAGGAGACTGTTTGTTCCTGGGTGCTGAGCCCCAAGATAATCAAACAGAAACCATATCATTTGCAATACTGTTTGGCCAATAGCTTAAGTGTATTTCTGGCTCACTCATATCTTAAATTAACCTGTTTCCATTAATCTGTGTATTGCCACAAGGCTGTGGCTTACTGGGTAAAGTTATGGCATCTGTCTCTGCTGGGGGCTACATTGCTTCTCTCTGACCCCAACCTTCTTTCTCCCAGCATTCAGCCTAGCTTTCCCTGCCTAGTTCTGTTCTGCCCTGCCATAGGCTCAAAGTGGTTCTTTATTAAGCAGTGGTAATCTCAGCATACAGAGGAGAATCCCACATAAGTAGACCAGACTAGCCTTGAACACACAGAGATTCACCTGCCTCTGCCTCCCAAGTGTTGGGATTGAAGGCATGTACCACCATTGCCCAGCATAAAAAATAAATCTTAAAACAACAGCAAAAAACTTTTATGGGCTGGAGAGATGTTTCAGCCAGTTAAGCCTAATACTCAAGACCAGAAACCAAGCTAGGTGTATAGGGATGACATTTAGTGACAGACTGTGTAACACACTCATGGCCCTGACTTCAGTCTCCAGCACAGGGAAGGAAAAGTGGGGGGAGCCCACTTAGCAAACTTGACCTTTGACCTTTCAGGAGCCAGACAAAATTGGACAAGTACTGGCATCTTGCCGCTTGCTAGCAGGTGGAGTTGTTGACTCTCCTCTGTCTGGGATGATGGGGTTTCCAAGTCCCACCCTGCAAGCTGGCTGTGGTTGATGCTGTTTCCGGTCTATTGGATTCCTCAGGTGACATGCTGGTGGTCCCCATCAAGCTCCACAAGTGTCCTTTCTGCCCTTACACTGCCAAGCAGAAGGGCATCCTCAAGCGGCATATCCGATCGCACACTGGGGAGCGGCCTTACCCCTGCGAGACCTGTGGCAAGAGGTTCACACGGCAGGAGCACCTTCGGAGCCACGCCCTGAGCGTAAGTGTCCGTGACGTTACTGCAAGGGCTACGTCTGTTTTCTAATCTGAGGGCGAGCCTGCCTTTCACGTCTCTGTTCCCTGTAGGTTTTTAGATAATTTGGTGGCATTTTCTTTTGCCAGATTAAAGCCGGGCTGGTGGCGCTTAGAAAGTTAACCCTGGCATGGGAACATTCAGGTTTTCTCAAGGATGGCTGTCATGAGGCCAGAACTGGCAGGGCCAGCAGACTGTGGGCCTCTTCCGCCTGAGATGGATGTGGAGTAAGCTGTATCCCCAATTTCCCACCAGACTCAGCATCCTGGGGTGGGAGAGCAATGTACTTCCGTTTGTCCCGCCGGCACTCTTAACTGCTAAGTCATCTCTCCAACTCGCCGACCCCCTTTTCTGTTGCATTTACCGCCTCCGCTTCTGCTGCCAGGTCCACAGATCCAACCGTCCTATCATCTGCAAAGGCTGTCGAAGAACCTTTACCAGTCACCTGTCCCAGGGGCTGCGGCGCTTCGGGTTGTGTGACGGCTGCACGTGTGTCACAGACGCCCACGATGAAGATGACGATTTGATGCCCGTCAACCTTAGCCTCGGGGAGGCTTCTTCCGAAAGCCACGGGAAGAGTGACGCGGACGACTGGCCCATCTATGTGGAGTCTGGTGAAGAGAATGACCCAGCTGTGGACGAGTCCGACGACAAGCCGCCGCACAGTCGGCCCAGCTTACCGGACCGAGAGACACTCACGTGAATCAATCGTTGGGAAAGTGGTTTTAGGTGTTGCTGCTTGTTCTACAGTAAAAGCCGACCGTCTGTCTAGTTTTGTGGAACTTAGGGGCTGTTTCCCCCTCCATCTTGTTAGACTGCATAGCCGAGTCTGGGTGTCGTGACTCTCAGAAGACTGATGGATGAGTTTTTAGCATGGATTCTGCGGGTTCTGTGGGCCTCACCTTGGTTCCGAATGATTCAAGGTTGGTCCCGAGCCTTCCTAATTTCCTTTTTGAGAAGCCGACTCTGGGTGGGAGGAAAATAAGAAAATCCTCCCTGCTTACCACCCTTTCAATCTTCTGCATTCTCTTATCGTTACCGTTTTCTGAAAAGGTGGCAAAATGTGCTGGCTGGGTACCAGTCTTTCCCTGCCAAGCTTTTCATAACAAGTTCCACAGTTTAATTTTATGGCGAAGTTGAAGGGAACCTGCTTTGATAAAAAGCAGGAAGGGCTGGCTCCGTGGTCATAAAGGTCCTCCCTAAATTGCAGTCTGCACTCCTGAAGGTTGGGAGCTGTGTGCCGACAAACTCTGCAAGTTTGTAGCAAGTTCATTAGGTCTCCCAGGCTTGCCCAGCTGGATGAAGTTAAATTAACAAGCCCCCCACCCCCACCCCCAAAGAGCCTGTGAGCCAGGCTGGTAGGCTATTTGACAATTGCATACAAGTACCCTATTCTGAGATCATAAAACAAGTTGTTCGGGCAAAATGCAAAATGGTCCCCTGCTTTCCGAAGTCATTTCCGTGCAGCGACTCGGTGCACCTGGAGATGGCTGTCCCACTAAGATTCTTTCACCTGGTTTATGCCCACACTTGAGCTGGGGAGAAGCGCAGGCTTGTCTAACGCTGTGTTTCTAGGTCTTTCCGCTTTTTTTTTCCTTTTAAAGATTTATTTATTTTATAAAGCAGTGTTCTGTCTGCATGCATGCCTGCAGGCCAGAAGAGGGCCCCAGGCCTCATTACAGATAGTTTGTGAGCCACCATGTGGTTGCTGGAAATTGAACTCAGGACTTCTTAACCTCTGAGCCATCTCTCCAGCCCAGATCCTTCGACTTTTAGAAGACCTTCTAGAAGGAAGGAGCTGGCTAGAACAGGTTTTAAGGCCGGTCTGCTTTTCACCCAGGCTGCAGCCAGGTCACTATTGTTGCAAAGCAAGCATCTTTAAAGCATCAGCTGGCAGGAAGGGCCAACAAAGTGCTAGAAAACACTTTCATAGCCTTTTCTTAAGTAAAGTATCCAAAGTGGATTTTAAAAAAATCCCCTTGTCTTCCTTTAATTTTAATACAGTTTCAAAAGGCAGTGAAATCTTCTGTCTTTCTGCCTCTTGAACAATAATCAGAAGAATTTATGAATGGACTTGTAGGTATTATCTGGTCATCAAAGGGTTAAAATGTTTGTTTGTTTTTCAAGACAGGTCTCTCTGTGTAGCCTTGGCTGCCCTGAACTCACTGTGTAGCCAGGCAGATCTCTATTTATAAGTTCAAGGCCAGACTGGTCTATACAGTTCCAGACCAGTCTGTGATACATAGTGAGACTCTATCTCAAAAATAAATAAATAAAAAGTAAATAAAGTTTTGAAATTTTATTAAAAGTATTGAGAGTTTTTTAAGCCAGTCTTCTACCACGTGTCATCTGGAGCAATGACAAAAAGCATTGGGGATGTGGATTCAGTCCTCAGCATTGCAAAACGAATTCACTGACTAGATCAAGAGTTACACTTCGAACGTTATCAGGGCCCAGAAATATTTTTCTTGCCTGAAACAAAACCGTTATTTGCAGTGGGACATGTTGGCCCATACCTGCGAGCCTAGTCCTGAGGAGGCTGAAGCAGGAGGATTTGTAGGCCAGCCAGAGCCACATAGTACTTAGCAAGACGCTGTCTTTAATAGACTACGAGAGATCTCAACAGAAAGGGCACTCAAATGGAGGTATGTATTTATCTTACAGGAGTTGTAGTTGATATTTTTGCTCTTATTTAATCTGTTTCTGTTTTAATATGACCTTTCTACCTCACAATTCAGCTTCTCTGCCTGCCTCCTACCTCCTTGGTAGAGCCATGACTGATCATTTTCAGCTATCTTGTGACTTCTTCATGTCTCTGGGTAAGAAAAAAAAATCAATTTAAAGGTTTTACCATAAAACACTGCTTCTCGGCTGGATATAATTTTGTCCTACACAGAAATTTGACATCATCTGGGTTACCTTTGATTGTTAGAAGCAGGGCGGGGAACTTCTGGCTTCTGGTAGGTCTAGGCCCCAGGGATGTTGCTGAGCCATCTTACATAGGAGAGGCCCCAGAAGCAGGTCATCAGGCCTTTACTCTCAGTACCCGAGGAGGCGGAGACAGGTGAGTTTGAGGCCACCCTGATTTACGTAGCTACCTCTAGGCAAACTAGGGATACATAGTGAGACCCTATCTCAAAATTAATTAATTAATTAAAAAAATCAGTAGTACCAAGATTGAGAAATTCTAGATAAATGATAAATTGGGGTTTTAAAAATGATCTTTCATTTTTAAATTTTGTGTTTTGTCCTGGGTGGTGTGGCTTTAATCCCAGCACTTAGGAGGCAGAGGCAGAAGTCACTCTCTGAGAGTTCGAAGTCAGCATGGTCTACAGTGTCCAGGTAGCTGAGGCTGTTACGCAGAGAAACCCTGTCTTACAAAACAAAACAAACAAATTTTGTGTTCCGTTTCTGAGACCAGATGTTTCACAGTTTGCCCAATGTCTGATGTAGCTTTATAATGCAGAAACTTAGACGTCCAGCCAGGTACGGGTATGAAATACCAGGTGTCTCAGCCAGAGGATCAGGAGCTCAAGTCCCAGCAACTCACAACCAACTATGAGATCTTGTGCCCTCTTCTGGCCTGCAGGTGTATATGCAGGCAGAACACTATGCATAATAAATAAATAAATAAATAAATAAATAAATAAATAAATAAATAAATAAATAAAACCCCCACAACTTGTGATTGAGAAAGACTTTGAAGTCAGGCAGTGGTGAGCACACCTTTAATCCCAGCACTTGGGTTCCAGAGGCAGGTGGATCTATGAGTTTGAGGCCAGTCCAGTCTACATAGGCAATTTAAGCTAGCCAGTACTATACAGTAAGACCCTGACTCAAAAGGGGGGGGGGGGATGAAGAAATTACTCTGAGTGTGGTTTCTGACCATTTGGCAGAAAGATGCTATTTTGCTGTTAATGGCTGTAGGACCAGAGAGAAAATGATCACTCGCTTAGGGTGAGAATTCTGTGCTTTGGCGAAGGGTTGGTAGCCAACGAAGAGCAGGCGTGGGGATTTCACGGGACGGCATCCATTTGAGATGCACACCTTGGTGATGTCGTGGGTGTGAACCAACTGTGGAGGGCTGCGCGGGGTGTGGTGAGGGTTTTTCTTTAGAAGAAGAAGACACGTTCCAGACACTTGCGCACCTTTTACTATCCATCCACAGCCCTTGGGCATCCTCTACTCTCAGAAAAAGGAAACGAACAGGACTACTGTGCCGTCCAGGGGCTCTGTAGGTCGAAGGTAGGTACATCCAGATGCGTGAGCACCGGGTAGTTGGCACCAGGCTGGCATGGAAAGCTGGGCAGCTGGGCAGAACCGGTTACTACGCTCCTGTCAGGTCCCTGAAGCTGTCCGTATGGCATGGCTCAGGTGCCGTGTACAGATGACACAGCATGGAAGCTGCCTTGGATTCTAAACCTTCTATACAGCCTCAGACGTAGCTTCCAGGGTGTCAGTAAGATGTGCCTGTTCCAAAAGCTACCATACTCAGGAAACCCCAGAGCTGTGGCTCCGCTAAGGTGTATGTAGTTCTTTCATTCCAGGTGTAGTTTACCATTTAGGGGCGTTTCTACCATATATGATATTGCTTAGCAACATAGTAAACGTATGACTCTTAATTTTATTTATTTATATATTTTATGTATGAACTCTCTGCATGTACACCTGCATGTCAGGAGAGGGCATCATATCCTATTACAGATGGTTGTGAGGCACCTGATGTGATTGCTGGGAATTGAACTTGGAACCTCTGAAAGAGTTCTTAACCACTGAGCCATCTCTCCAGCCACATTTTTTTTTTCCGAGACAGGGTTTCTCTGTGGCTTTGGAGCCTGTCCTGGAACTAGCTCTGTAGACCAGGCTGGTCTCGAACTCACAGAGATCCGCCTGCCTCTGCCTCCCGAGTGCTTGGATTTAAGGGGTGCACCACCATTGCCCGGCTTCTCCAGCTACTTTTTGAAAATTTTTTTTAATTAAAAATTTCCGCCGGGCGATGGTGGCGCACGCCTTTAATCCCAGCACTTGGGAGGCAGAGGCAGGCGGATTTCTGTGAGTTTGAGACCAGCCTGGTCTACAAGAGCTAGTTCCAGGACAGGCTCCAAAACCAC